TGTTGTGTGATAGGGACATGGATAGCAAGGAGCAAAGTGAGAAATTGAAGAACTATGAAGCTCAGTACGCCAGTTACTTGAAAGCAAAGTACTTCTCGGATAAGGATATTTATGGAGGTAGAATTAAGTTATTTATATTTCATTGCTTTAATTGACGCACGATTCTATTTTATGTATGATCGTGTTTCTTTGTGTGTGTGTGCTCCTTTCAAATGGTGGATTATATTTTCTGGAAGAAGGAAATGGTGTACTATAGATGTCGTTATTTACATGAACAGAAAGTGAAATGGATATGGAACCAAATGGGGTGGGAATTAGAGCATTTCCAACAGATTCTCTTTAATTTGCCTAAATAGAGAAGCAAAAATTGAAATTTCCAAAGAAAAAATTATATTATCTCCAAGAACTTCTCCATTTTGGAGATCTCAATATAAATTATATTATATGCTACTGTCGAATCTGTGGTCACACATAAGTATCTCGCCTTCCGGAAAAATCCTGTTTTGCACCCATGCTTTCACGCCCCAGCGTTGGTAGGGACCCAGAGAGCTGCCTTCGCTTTTGGCTTTCCTTCATATTCAATAGATTTATCATCCTAAGAAAACTTTCAAGATCAACTTTATATAAAATTGCGATACATTCAACTTCATTGTTGGAAACAATAAAAAAACCATTTCTTTCTCTTCAACGTTTAATTTTGGAGAGTTCTCCAAGTTTGGAGATTTTTATCCTCTCTATCCTACTTTCTCCATGGCTCATGTCATTGGAGCTAAGAGCATCTCCAACAGATTCTCCAAGATGTAGAATGTGAAGATTTTGTAGTCTATAACAGTAAATGGGTTTCTATTTTGGTGGATTTCTGTACTTTGACAGTCGTAATTTTGTTAAAGATTCGAGAAACATAGTGTTGGTTATAATATAGTTTGCGTGTACTCCTGAAACCTGCAACAGTTGTGTGAGCCTAGGAAGTTATTTACTTTCCATATTATTATGAGGTAATATGTTTGATTATCCATTGATTGGAAATTTTGATGAGCAACTCCCCTTCTCCTCACAATTGTATGATGAAGTTAAAACAATGTTTACATCAAAGGCAGTACAAACTTCATCCATATATACATTTTGATGAAAACATAAAGATTATGATTATCTTTTCTAATACCAAATTCATTGTAAGTTATTGTTATCTTATTTATAAGAACTACAATTCATTTTGTTACCATTTTACCAAGCATCTAACAGATATTATGTTTCGAAAGATGCTGAAGGAGGAAATTTGATAGAAAACGCATCTTAAAATACTTTCCATTAGCGAAGTCGATGATTATGAGATGATATATAATAGAGGTTTTGGTTGCACTAATTTTGGTTCTTGATTTGAGAACTATTAGTTGTGATTACATGATTTGTCGATAGTTGCATAACCAATAAGATGGTTTGAGCCGTGACAATTATTACTTTCCTATTATACCTATAGTTTGCACACCGTTAGATGATATATTATATAACTTATGTTTTGCTTTGATCCCCATTTTAATGAGCGATAATTATATGGTACGAGTGCAGTTACCTTATAGGTACTAACTCCTCCCAAAACAAGTAAATGTTTTTCTCAAAAAGTGAAGATGAATATTTAGATTTATCAATTTGATATGGTTCACCGTAAGTCATCATTAAAGTATTATTTATAAGACTTCAAATTCATTTCCTTACCAAACGTATCAAGAGTATTACGTTTTTGTTATATACTAGTGAAAATTTGATAGAAAACATGTTTAAAAGTACTTATTTCATTAAAAAGTTGATGATTATAAGAGCATTTATCAAAGAATAAAGTATAGAACTATACTTGTGGTTTGGCATCACCGACTTGATACTAACAAGCTGTTTATGTATGCGTGTTTTCTTGTTTATCCTTGTCTTCTCAAGCACACACACATATATCAAACCAACGGACCCAAATATATTCCACCCGGAGGTAGGGTGGATGTGAATATTGCTTGAAGAGTTGTTCTTTGACTTCACTTGTCTTCATTTTGTCCAATACAAGGTCAAGTGCAGCCATAAAAATCCCAAAAAGGCTTGTCTATGTTTGAACAGACTAAAAAACCCGCCCCAAGGCTTTTCTTTACATTTGAAGTGTTTTCTTGTCAAAAATGGATTATGCAACTCCTATTTGAGTTGGACAGTCAAGGGAATATGAATTTCTGTATTACGCATTTCTTTTACAAGGAATTTTTGCTACCATGAACTATCTTCTTTCACTTATCCGATCATAGAAGCATTCTGAAAAGATAAACTATGTGATCGTATGATACAATTGAACTATTAAACGATAAAAGAATAATGGGTGCCGACGAATAGCTTTCTCAAGTTCCAAGTGCTGAAGAGCCATTTTCTTGCAGGTAAAATTTTTGAAGAGAAGGCAATCATAGATGGGGTGACAATCTGGGCAAGCAGGTAACAGTTGAATCAAAACCACAAGTTTTACGTACAATATGTTGCAGCAGTTGCTAACCCATTTGGCGGTTTTGGGTTTCCTTTTTTCTCAGTGAACCGGGCACAAAGTCTTATGCAGATCCGTTAGCGTATTGGAATGAGAAGGTCGCGCGTTCAGAACCTCAAACAGAAACAACCACCAATCTTTCAAATGGAAAACAGTCTTCTAAGAGAAGTGCATAAGTTTGTGCTAGCCTCTGGTGTGGAAATGTAGTGAACAACTAATTATATGTCAGTGAACATGTTAGACATGCTTATTTAGGCCATCTTCTGATAATACCAAACAGATTATGCTTTTCAAAGTTGAATCATTTCTCTTATTTCCCTCATTTCCTCAAGGGCTAGCCTATCTATTTTAGAGAGTAATCTGCATATTCTCATAGGCTTTTGTATGCTCAAGTCTGGGAATTTGTTCATGTTCAATCTTTGATTTGAAGGATATAATATTTACATACGATAGTTGAATTCACACACATTTCTTATCTTTGGTGAGGTTTGAATCATTGACCTTTTAGGAGGCTGGGCCCTCTGGTATCATGTATGACACTAGACCAAAGACCATGTTCAATCTTTTGAATTGAGTAGTGATGGTTGGTGGTGGTGGTGATTTGACAAATTGAGTAGTAAATTTGGTGTATTTATTGCCAACAACTTTAAATTTTATAAGTGTGATTATAATTACAAATAGTTTAGTTTTTTTCAGTATGATTATAATTATACAAATCCAATCACTCAAATGAGAGACGATAGAATAATCATGCAAAAGTTGAAAATTACTTGACGGACAATCACTGATTAAAAATATCAAGAATATTTTAAAGAGCTTGTTGTAATCGGAATTAACACATGAAAGATGTTTAAGTTTAAGTGGATAAGATTTTGTTATATAATTTAAGTTTTTTTTTTTCTTGAAGTATTAGAGAACTCCGTTAAAATATAAATGTATTTGACGGATCGATGACAATATTTTTTACAAAGCTTTTTGTAGGTCAATTTCATTCATACTCTTTCCTATATGAATATGAATGAAGAGAGATGAAATGCGAATGGTGGTGGTGTAGGTGAGGGAGGGGAAATGAATACCCATTATTTTATAAGTTTTGAAATTCAAAACCCCGTGTTAATATATATTGTTTTGAAAATTCAAACCCTAAAATATTACATCGGGCACATTCACGTTCTTTCTAAAACCCGTTGAGATTTATTGTAAGAAAAGTCAGATACTATCTTGGTTTTGAAATGTTTAATAAATCTGGATGTCTGAAATAGTTCATCTGGACTTTCAAATTGTTCTGATGTTTCTGACAGTCTAATACAGAGTTTTAAGCTGAAACTTTAACAAGTGGTTGAAAAGTTTGAATTATGATAGTATTTATATAAATATTTTATATTTCAAAAGAAAATCTCATATGGTGCATCGTGTCACGAGTTACATCTCAAAAAATAGATTAGCCAAGTTGGTGAAGAACACTTCTTATATTCCGTACCATTGGGCACCGTTTTATTATTTTATATGTTGATATTTGCCAATACAACCTTCCAAGGTTGTCGAACAAGCTTTTTTTTTTATACGATTGAATTCAAAGAGCAACTTATCTACATACTATTATACTATAATCCTTTGTGAATTTAGAATATAGCTAGGTGCAGTTTCAATTGTCAACCTGATTTATGTTGCAAACGAAGGAGTAACAAGAGTATGACACTTGTCCAAGATATTCATGGGATATTCATCATAAATAATGTAAAACATTCACGTCTATTATTGATCATATTCATGATGAATAGGTACACATGTCCCTCTCTCATTTGTCACCCAGTAAGATATGTTTGCAACTGAACTTTCCTATACACAAACACACACAGGGACTTTCTTTTGAAATTCTCTAAACCGTAATATCTTTGAGAACCTATGCATCATATGCTATTTTTTTTTTTCATCTATGGCTAGAATTTAATGTAGTGATTGACATATATTTGTTTCACAATGTGAATCTTTTTGACGTGTTTGTAAAACAAAAAATACATATAAAAAAAGTTTTACATTTTGAATTAAATAACATATGAAAACACACATTGTGAAACAAATATATGTTAATCAATGCATCAGATACTATACATGGATAGACAAGAATCATGTCAAATAAAATCTTAACGGTAAAAGTTCTCATGGATCTCACAAAGAACAAAAACGATTAAGTCAATATATATACACTTTAAAATTTTAAAATATAAACACATCCCTTTCTGCTTTCTTGCATTCATGATAAGGATCACATATCTGAAGACAGAAGTTTATAGGAATGTAGACCAATTTGCAGGAATTCCTTCTCAAAGATGATAACTTTCAACAACTAACATGCCATTGCCAACACCAAAGGGCCTTTGGCCTAGCGGTATGTGAGTTCTTGGCCTTCTACGAGGTCAAAGGTTCAAACCTTACCAAAGGTGAGGAGAGTGTGTGAGTTTATTTGTTTTATTTGCCATATAAAAACATTATATACTGAAAGAAAAACATGCCATTGCCTCGGACATCTTTACTCAAAACACAATAGAACTGAAGGTTTTGTGTTCAAGAAACCTAGCACGCATATATGATTCCTACAAACCCACATTCAAAAACAAGATCATCAACTCAAAACTGCCCAATACCAAAACTTCAACATTCATACCTTTTCAAAGAACCCTTGCTGTCTTCCTGAGTTCATAATCAACATCATCTGTTGGCAATTCATGGCGACAAACAGGGCAGGTGTTCCGAATGCCCAACCAAGCCCCTATGCAATCTCCATGGTAACGATGGCTGCAAGGAAGCAGCGTTGCCATTTCTCCGACACCCACTTCATCTTTACACACGGCACAAAGGGTGGTGTTGTTTTCGACATCTTCTTGAGTCACAGCCACAGTCGAAAGATTCGCAACCACCGATTTGGAAGCAGGCGGACGACCCAAAGATGAAACACCAGTGTCTCCAAACTGCCCAAAGAACATCTCATATTCTGTGTAATTGTAATCATCATCAGCTAAATCTGGGGTTGGTTCGAAATTGTGAACATTTGATAAGACTTGCCATTCGAAAGCTTCTTGAATTTCTTGGAATTGTTCACCACCAGGAGGGATTCCTGATAAAACATCATCATCATCACCATGATCATCATCATCATCATCACCATCACCAACATCTGCTCGGAGACACACACCCAAAACTTCATAATCTTCATTTACATCAAGCACTTCGTCCCACTGAAGATCTTCATTTGTATTTCCGTTTACTGGTATGATATCATCCACATCCGACACCAAATCAGTCGCCCTCACCCCACCCAAGAAAAAATCCGGAGAACCTGATTCATAAGATGAAACGCCGGATTCAGATCGAGCACCATGGAGACCACTTGTCCTCCTGGATACAAACAAGTCATCCCCAGAACCAGCAACCGTAAACCCAGAATCATTAGCATTAGCATTACGGTTATGATGATTTCCTTCAAAAAACCCTAAGCGTGACCCAAATTCCACATCAAAATCGATATCATGATTCCCTTCTTGAACTCCAAAACTTCGATGGAAAGGAACCAAAGGGCTCTCTTGAATAACAGGCGACACACAATGCGATTGCGATTGCGATTGTGATTGTGATTGCGACTGACGGAACATATCGATTTCGAAATTTACCTGGTTCTGTCGATCGAAAGGCGAAATTCGAGACGGGTAAGCGTGGAGATTGTTGCGGGAAGAAAAGGATACTAGAAAATCGTCTTCATCATCATGATCAAAACAATGAACCTCCGCCATTGGTGTTATGGATGAAGCTTTGTGGGGCGTTCGGCCTAACGAAGAAAAGTCTGTAAATAGAACGGATTTGGGGTGTTCGCCCAAATTCGTTGCTTTTGCTAACAAATTTGGCGGACGGTTGAGATCTCTCTCAATTTGACTTTTAATGCTTACCGTCAACATTTTTATATTTTTGAATTATTTTTATTAATTAAGTTTTCCCAAATAGCTTTTGGTTCGCAGAACGATTTATGAAGGCATAGAATCTGTCAAAAAAATTGGAATATGTCAAAAAAATTGGAATCTGTAACGAATTGAAATAGAATATTATCAGGTTTGACCCAGTTTTTGATATCAATAGAAAATGCATGAAAATTGAAGCTATGATTAATTCATGTTCGATAGCGGATTATAGAATTCAAATTCAAAACCGGTAACTCGGTTGTCGTAAACAAACTTCAAATGATGAGATCACGAGAGGGAAGCGATGACGATTTGTCCAACTCAAGCTCTATATACAAACTGTCATGTAATTCTTCCTATTTATTACCCATCGTTCTTCTTCAATTTCTTAAGGGAATCTAACAACGATGTTCTTTCGTGATTGGCTGAGGATTTCGCAAACGGATTACTTGACCGATGAAACTCCACCTCACCTATATTCTTCTTAACACCTAAACCTTTACTATTTTCTGGTTTTGTAACCTTTGCTGCCTCTTCTGTTGTCTTTTTCTTCACAAATGAAGGTGATGATAGTTGCCCAGATTGTACCTCATTCACAGGTTCAACCGCCTTTTTCTTCACAAATGAAGGTGCTGATAATTGCCCAGGTTGTACCACTTCATTCACAGCTTCTATTGTCCTTTTCTTCACAAATGAAGATGATCCAGATTGTGGTGCATTCACAGGTTCTGAAGCCTTGCTGCTTTCTGGTTCTGTTGTTTCTTTAACTGATATAGTATCTGTGGCTTCTTTAAGCAACCTTTCCTGGGAAAGTAACCACCACGGTTAACATAAAACTTTTCTAGCTCAAGATAATGTTAAATGATGGCCTGATTGAGGTTACCTCCAATATCGTGTTGAATCTTTCTGCCAAATTTGGTAGTTTCAGTGCAGTCACGAGCTTTATCGCACCTCTCACGGATTTCTCCAGTGAAAGAAGCTTAACAAGTTCAGTAGCCCTCACAAGTTTATCCCCTAATATCAACATCATATACAAAATTACTATCAATGTTAAACTCGACTTTCTTTTTTGATTCCGTAGCTTTAATGAAACGAAGACATTCTTCTTTTTCTCTCTTCTTGTTTACTTTGAGTAAAAGTCTTGATAAATGTGTTAGAAAAAAAAGTAGCAACTTTTTATGTTACTATTATTTTCTGGAAAGAGAAATACAACAGCTTACCATTACAGCAGGAAGCAATGAGCCTCAAGATGCATCTATCCAAAGCTGCTTCAGTATTGAAGGCCTCATCTTCGAGTGAGGTGGTATCCTGACCCACTCCCTCTGTGTCTTCAATCCTTCTTTGGATCTGTAACAAGTCTCAGATATGGTAAATTAATTGAACCATCATCATGTTATTTACATTACATCCAACAAAAACACCCAAAAACAAGTCGTTTTTTCATATCTTTGATCGACTAGAACAAGAGAAACAAACACTTTGTATAACTTGAAGCATTTCTGATACGATGGCCACAAAGATGATAATTTTACCTGGGAGAGATGCATGTTGCTAACAATGAATTCATTCTCAAGAGTTTCTGCCCCCAAGTCGGATGATGCAAGAGGGATTGAATGATCTAACAGGGTAAGAACTGGTTTAGGGACGGCCTGAACAACGAAGAATGCAATCTTAGTTTCAAACAACAATTAAAATACACATGAAAATGTAAGTTTCTTGTTAATACTACCTGTGGAAATTTATCAGGGGATTTGCATAGAATGCAAAACAACTTGCTTGAGTTCAATCCAACCATCCAGTAGTTTTCCTCTTTCTTCTTTAATTTACTAGCACTGCATGCAACAATATAGAGGACCATCTGTAATAGCATAAACCAATGGAGATGAAACATTTCTAAGTAGATGGAAGGATTGCTTACGTGAAGAGTGGAAGCCAACTTCCTCGATACTGACTAGTGAAAACTCGGAGAACACCCTGTCCATATAAGATCAAGATTTTCCTATAATTCACATAAATAATATCTTAGTGGCATGAAGTCACGAACTGGATTGAGGCATACCATGGAATCAAAGGAACTCAGTTGACCTTCTTCACTAAAACCAAACCATGTTAAGCACGAACCAGGAGTCAATGGCAACCGTCCTCTAATAGGCTGGGTTCCGTTTGAAACGTTGAATACTCTGAACTCTAGCATCTGTACATTTCCCAAAACAAATATGCTTTGTGAGAATACCTGCTAAGCCATTAACTGTAGATCCGTTTTTCTGAACAACGATAACTACAGTAGAAAACTGTATGCACCAAGTAGATTTAGATCCAGAAAGCTTTGTTATGCAGATAAAGGTTATCATTAAATACTGAATAACAACACTTCTATCCATCTCCAAGAAGTACACACACATGCATGCATAAAAGAAAAAAGCCGCACTTGGTGCAATTCTTTTTTCATGGCATTGAGGAGTTAAACAAGAACAACTATCAGAACTTGGAATTAAAACAAACAAAAAACAATTGCAATGAAACCAATAAACAAACTCATGCCTGCTCATTTGAAGGGAGGGAGGGAGCAGAATGCATGACAACTGCAAGTTCATCCCCAAAGCCACATGCAGTCACTACAGGTCCATCAAGTGAAACCACATGCCTCTGCAGAAAAGAAGTAATTGTCAATTTTACCTTTCCACTTGAAGCAAATCGCAAGCTGATGTTTGTACTGTATCAAGCACCATGAAACTGCATGGTTCCACAGTCCAAAGTACAACATATGCAGTCACGAGCAATATACCCACCACAAGATTTCCACAACACAAACAAACTGATGGTATAATAAAGTTTAGGATTCAATGATTGATATTGACAAGTTTATCTCAAAAGCATGGAAGAATATATGCAAGTGACAAAACCTGCAAACCGCCCTCTGTGAAAATGCGAAGGAAATTTAAACTTGTAACAGCAGCAACCCAAGAAGTGCCAAGCGCTACAGCTCTTACTTCTTCTTCTTCAAGTCGCATAGACCACTAAAATGTATATCAGGTAACAGATGTAAATATTTTAAAACTTGTTTATTATAATGTCACAGTTCAGAAAGATATACAAGTGATTTAATCATGGATGAACTAACCTCGCTATTGTTTGCCCAGCTTTTGAATGGACGGTACATGAGGGTGCTCATGTTTTTCTCACCTTTGCAGGGATTTGCAAAAACACTTCCATTTTCATTCAAGGAAGCCATAGTGAAACCAAAATAATCAGTCATTGCAGGAACTCGAGGCCCCCTGCCAGTGTCATGAAAATCAATCTGCACCCAACGCATAGTATGTGAACACGTAACTTTTGATATGGTTCTGAGCATCATTGATGTTCCTTCTGTTACTTATCATGTTGAATTGGTTGTTTTGGAGCACAATAATGTTTGAAATCAGTTTTATTCAGCCATGACGGCATATGTGCTGACTCATACACAATTGTTTACATTTTACTTACATATAGAGGGCAAAAGAAAGATTTTATGGAACTTTCTACTACATCATTGATGAGGGTAAAAGCCACTTGACTCACAGTTCTGATCACCATTGGCATTTCTTTCCAAGTAAGACAAATACACTTTCATAAAGAAAAGATGATAACCATAACTACAGATTTAGAAAGAGAAGAATACCTCTATATGGGAGTATCCATCATGCTCCATTGAGGTTATACTTCCAAGCATATTATAACACAAAAATCTCCTTTTACCAGACTGCATAGGAGTAGCACCTGGCTGAAAAGCTTCCTGCATTATTGATCCTGTTAAAATCAGTGGACCTGTTGGTGTCACCTTACCATTTTTGAGACCGTCCCTGCCAGCAATGGAAGGCTTTTTACGGGATTCAACCTTTGGAAGCAAACTCGTTCCGTCATTCATATCCTCATCTGAATCTTCATCATACTTAAAATGTTTGCGTAATCTCTTTCTGGTAAGTGGTTCAGTACTGACAAGACTGTCTTCACCATGATCACTTATACTGCCTGATGTACTAGGCTCTTGTTCCTCTTCATCAAAAAAGAGTAGACCATCACTTCTTTTTGAACTCAAAGTAGGAACTCCTTCTGTAGGGGATTTCATAGATGATGGGACAACCAAGTCCCAAACACCATATTTCCCCATAACATCAATAACAGCCAAGGCATTTCCATGTGGCTTCCATGCCATGCAACATATTGCTTCATCAAATTTCTGTCTTTCAATGTCCTGTTTCTTATCAACATCCCAGATCAAAACTTGCCTATCTAAGCCAGAGGTAGCAATATATTTTCCATTAAGTGACCAAGCCAAGAAGCACACTGGTGTTGTGTGATCACCTCTCAATGTAAAGAGTTTTTCAGCTGTATCTCTATCATACATAACCACATCATTTTTCAAACCAGAAACAGCTACCATCTCTCCATCTGGACTCCAACCAAGTGCGCTTAAAGTTGAAAAGTCAGAGGAGGTATTAGGAGCGACATTTCTGAGGGTGTGAATTGTTGCACCAGATTGGAGCTCCCAAATCATAACAGTTCCAACTGAATCGACAGAAGCCAAGTACTCACTTTTTGGATCAAAAGCTATGCCTGTGATAGACCCTTTATGTCCTTTTAAAACTCTTGCAATTGAACCATCTATTGTGTTAATAAGTTTAATACCATCATCATCACCACCAGCTGCTAGCATGGTACCCGATCTATTGAAAGACAGTGCACGAATTGGCAGTGTAAATCTGGTAATATTTGTCTCAAATTCTCCTCCTGGTAAAAAGATCAAAATGCTTCAACATTAGATATGTTTCCAGGATTAGCTAAAGCATCACAGGGAAAAAAATGATTAAGATGACTCGATCAAACATAAAATTTTCCTTTTGACCCATGATATCAGGGATGACATATAATCATGTAAGAAGTAACTCATAAATTATAATGATATGTAAAAATGGATGCAAAAGATGAAATTTAAAATATCAAGACAGTAGCTCCAATATATAAGTATGGTATAAAATCAAGAGCATGCTACCGTGTCGGGAAACTCAAGGATAACATAATCCTGCTATTCTTATGTACAGATAGAGTCATAGTGAAGAACAAAAGGATAGTGCAATATTATTTTTTACTGGAAAGTGAAAGATGAAAATTTGCTGGTCTATATATTCTCTGTAAAGTGAAGGATTCAAGATGAGTTCTAAAGTGCAATATACATTTATACTAAAGTCTCTATAGAAGTATATTTAATACATAAATAGGTGATGCACACATCGTGTGATGCGTAGGTGATGCAAGCGCATCATGGAATCGCAACGCATCAACCCATCTGATGCGTTTCCTCCAGCACATTAGAGCGCATCACGCATCAGAGCGCATTATGCGCGCATTTTTAAACCAAGATGGAAGCTATCTAAAAGATAATATATTCTACACTATAATACAAAGAAAATCAATATCTATCTACAACATATGATGCCAAACTTTATAGAAATCTGTAAATTGCACTTAAATAGACTTCTACTCTACCAAGAACAAAATCAATAAAAACCACAAAACTGTGAGAAAAAAAAAGAACTCCGACTAAATTTGAAAACTTTGTTTTCATATTGTGAATATAAAAAAGCCTCCATAGTGCTACACATAGAGCATAAAAGAGTGCTACTAAATAGAGGTATCTGTTCAGAATGGCTTTTAAAAACAGGCAGCACCTTCTAATGTTACTTTTAAGTAGTGACTAAGAACTTCATAAAATGGCTAGCATCATATGTAAAACCTAACAACAAGGAAGGATGGATACAACAATCTAAGCCGTCACTACTACTCCCGTCTTCGTTTCCTTCCTTTTCTAAGGATATATGCATGTGAAAGAAAACTCAAGAGAAAAGAGCTCCTCAAGGTACCCCGCAGAAGTGGATACTCCATACAGCTAAGATGAAATGTATTAAATATACTTCTATTTATGATTTTGAGAACATGGAAGATAAGAAAGTTAAACGACTGCAAGGAGAGGGATAAAAAAAATACAAAGTCGAGCAATGTGGCATCACATAAAGGAAAAGGATTCCATTAAATGATTTACACATTTATAGGTGAATATGAACTTGTTTAATTAAATATTCATTATTATGGATATCCTAATAATTGAAAAAAATGATATCCTTGGCATCAAGAAGCATCAATAGATCTAGCAAAAATTGTAAAGGTTGGACAGATACAAGGAACAAAGAAGCATCAAGCATGAAAAGTTAAATGAGTACAAACAATGGAGCAATAGTATTTTCTACCCTCTTGGCATCATCAGTTACATGTGCTTTTTTAGTGGAAACAAATAGACCGGATATACTCTGTAGCCCAAAGATGATTAGCTTCTGTTGCACTGCAGTTAGGCCTCATGGAGAATCAAATAAACGACTTGACTATAGCTATGTGTGGTGCTACACAATCCTCAATTCCTGACGAGTATTATCTTCAACATGCCTCGGATTTGCACAAGGCCATGTGGATTGTAATTCAAAATAGACATGTCAACAAGGATGTCGGGCATATTAGTGTTTGCGATAAAATTTTGAACTTAAGATGCATGAGAATAAGTCAATTGTAGATCAAGTCAATCAGCCCTGTGATCTCACTCTCACATGCAAGGACATCATTGAACCAGTTCCAACGACTTTTGAAGTTAGAACTTAATTTACAAACTCCTTCCTTTGTTGAAAAATCATCAAAGGAAGTTGAAAGATAAGAACTCTAAAATTGCATTAACACATTCAATTTGTACAGTAAAAGACAGATGCTCTTGATAATCAAGAGAAGTTGAGACAAATCAATAATATCAAAAGATTTCATGATTGTAACCCCACAATTAAGTCAAAATAAAGTGGGTAAAATAAAAACAACAAATGACACCAAGAATAGGAGTGATAACAGCTTTAGTTGTATAATTCATGTTTTCCCTCAAGTATACAAGGTTTAAAATGCTACGGGAAACAATTTTAATGTGGTAATCTACTGCTCTAATGGATTACTTAAAACATCATCTAATGCTACCAAAAAATCCAATGAGTGTTAACTTGTTTTCTCATCAATTATCAATTCTTTTTGAAGCATTCGACCAAAAATATCTCAACATTGGTCCCCTTTATTCGCCAGAGAGTCCCGGAATATGTACGTAGTCAAATAAAAAAATATTTTCTAAATGGCTTCATCAGAAATGCAAAAATAAAGATTTTCGTATCAACGATGATGAATACCCACGTTCCAGTAGTGACCGTGAATAACACCTTATATCAAACTGAAAGGCTCATAATATGAAAGATCAGTCAACCAGCTACTTGACAACCTACAAGCATATGAAGAACGAAAAACAGGATATAAAAAATATTACCAGGGAACTTATAGAGTTTGACGGAGCGGTCACTGGATCCAGAAGCCAGGCATGTGGAATTAGGACTGAGAGCCAAAGTGGTGACTCCATCTCTATGATTGCGAAGAAATTTCGGAGTATTTGAAGGTAAAAGAGCATCGTGAATGGAAATGGAGGCGTCAGAAGAAGAAGCAGTAACAATGTGCTCGGCAGTGAGGTCCCACAGGATCGTACAATAGGAGCTTACACCATCGTTCTTGTGAGCCTCGCGCAGCTTCATCGATCTGATCTTCATGTCTGATTTCTGGAGATCTTCTTAGGATGCGTTAGCAGCGTCTTGAGACCCTATTGATCCAGTTACTGACGTTGTTGCTGGATTAGGGTTCGAATAGGATCAGATTTTGGCGGGAATGTTTGGGAATTTGGGGATCGTTTGGCGGGATAAGTTTTATCACCCGCTTATGGTTGAACTTGAACCCGATTAAATGGTTTCTTGAACCCATCAAATTATGGGTTGTGTCTCGATTCGAATAAGAAGAAGTTACCACGTGATTTGCACATGCGGCCATATCACGTGCAGTAGGTCCTCTTTCATTTTTCAGCTAGTTGTATATTCGCGTAATGCAACGGAAGCTGTGAATAACAACGATTTTAAAGTTTTACTGGTTTTATTAGAGAACATTTAACGATGATATAAGTTACATTTGGTCTTTACATGTTAATACAATTTGAATAAATAAGAGTTATGATTTCAATTACAGTCTATCGATAAAAAAAATTGTATGACAGTTTAAAATCCAATATATTTAAAATCCAACATATTTAAACGACTCTACAAATATGTTTGATTTATACCAAGAACAAATAATCAAGAGATCGAGAGGGAGACTGAAAGTTCTATAGCAATTGAATGAAATATGAATACGAGAACTTTTAATAACTCATAGTGAATTTAATTTTGAATCTTACCTTGGGGGATGGAAAGAAGATATTTTCCTCCGCAATTGAATACAGGTATGAGAGGGTGAATGTATGAGTAAAATGTGTCAAAAGTATCTTGGACATATGAAAAGAAATTGTAATAATGTGCATTGGTAACTTGTACAATATGTTATTTTAATTGTTAGATTAATAGATTTTAAGACTAAACATGAAGTAGTAGTACTTAATGCATTATGAGTTGTTTTAAGACTTTGTGCATAAATATATAGTACTTTGTATATTAAAATTTGTTTTTAAGACTTTTGATAAATTTAGTTTATAAAGTAGTATAGATAAGTTAGTTACATTTTTCGTCCCTAAAATTTTTCGTTTTATCATATTTGTCCTTGGACTTTGCATTTTGTTTTTGGTTTCGTCCTTATATGAAACGACGTTTATTTTTGGACCGTTAAACTCCCTCAAAATGCAAACATTAGGGATAAATTTACAATAAATGAAGCTTAAGGAAATAATATGATAACATTGGAAAACATTGGGGACGAAAATGTAATTAACTCTTTTTCTTTTCTATCGCGTTCTCAAACAACGATTGCCGGTAGATCCTGATGGTGGTCCGACCGATGCCCTTTGCTCTGCGCAGATCAACCTTTCATCGCGATACGCTGTGAGTTGGGTGCTTTAACCATTCAGCCATGGATGCTTAGCGGGGATCCTATCAACTTGTTCCGACCTGAGTAAGAAACTGTGACGCCACCGACGACGATGCCGCCTATCAAACCCGAGCCTGTCGAAATTCCGCTGGACGTGAAAACGAGGAGCATCGAATACCTGCCGGATATCAAATTAGAGACCATTTGTTGCCCAGCGGATGTGAAATCGGAGACCATGGAATACACGCCGGATAGTCCTCCGACCAAGCGTCTCAAAACCCTAAGCTCAGGTTCGCCATCACCGTCCTTAAAAGGCAAATCCAAAATTGAAAAAGAAGAAGATGATGATGATGATTCGTTGCCGGAGCAACAGTTGGGTACTTGCGGCGTATGTTTGTTAGAGGAGGGAATGTCTCTTAGAGGTTTAATCGACAGTTGCGAACATTATTTTTGCTTTGTATGCATCATGGAATGGGCTAAAGTGGAGTCTCGTTGCCCGGTTTGTAAGCGTAGGTTCTCTACTATTCGTCGCCCTCCTAAAGATGGACTCTTCTTCTCCGAGAGAATAGTCAACGTTCCTGTTCGCGATCAGGTTACTATTTTTGAATCATCCTAATTCAGTAATTTGTTAATTTACTTCTTTCTAAACTGTTTTCTACGAATCTGACCTGTAAATTGGTACAAAAGGATTAAAGATTGAAATCTGGGAAATATGGATGATATACATAAATTGATACTCACTCGGTTCTGGAAAATAGCAAAACAATCAAGTGGTAACATTTTAATGTTTTATGCAATATGTATTCACTATTTCACTTTACTAGTTTACTCTAAATTTGTAACAAACACTGCAATAAACTGATTTCTGGTTATAGTTGCAAGTTAATTCAAATTACTAGTGCATTTGGTAGCAGGGTTCATCTTGGTAAATTGTTTACTTTGAAGAGTAAAATGCTAGCAGGTAAGGCCCTTGAATGGAACACTATACATGGTGACTGAGAGTTTGCTAAATTGTTTTAAATAGCTGCGTACTTGGATAGTTATTGATTATAGTGGAAATTAAGCTTGAGTTTCTTTTTTGTTAAGCATGGGTGTCCGGGGCAGCTTGCAGGCACCTCGACTAGTTTGTTTTAAGACGTGCTTCGTTATTTAATATGGGAAATTGTGAAAAGCCTTTTAGGCTTTAGCTTGAGTCATGGGAATTAGAATGGCCACGTTTTGGTAATGTTATCTTAAATTTAACAGAATTTACATGTATATTTTTGTCTTGGAAGTCCTAGTCTACTATATCCTTGGCCCAGGATAAGACCTCGTCTTTTGCCTTTGTAGCTAGTGAATTCGGCTAATGTGCTATGAAAATTTACCCTTTTTGCTGTAGGCAACAAAAATTTATCAGATTATGGCAGTCAAATTGGAGTGCAGATGTCTCAGTGTTTTGACTTATGCTGTTAATGAAGCAGAACGACAGTAGGTTGGATCAGTAAAACTGGCCAAGGTTATTGCCATTGAGCCTTAGCTCAGTTGTCAGTTGTCACCCCTGCCTGTAGGGTCATTGGAGGTTGCCAGGTCGATTGTTTGGTTCCCCCTCCCTTTTGGTTTGTCTTTTTGCAATTCATTACCACTGTTACTCCCAAATTTCCCGTAAAAGAAAATGGAAAATTTTCAAGGATAATGAGGTTATATATAATATTATACATCTATCTAGTGGTAGATCTAGGAACCTTTTGTTATAGTTTTTCGTTTATGAAGATTTATATGTGAGAAGACTAAATCAAAACAAAACACATGTAAAACAGAAGGATCAAGGCACACATGTATAATGATGAGCAAGTAAATTAAAGGTTGAGTCGAGATTCAAGACAAAATCATCTCGTATTTGCCTGAATTAGACAACAATATGTCTCCCAAGATACAATGTATCGTACATCCGTCGATCTCGACACTGATAATGTGAAATCTTTTGAACCCATTGATGTGCAACTCTCCTTTATTGTTAGCCATCAGGACACTTTTTTGCAGGAAGGAAATCCAGGAAATAGGCAGATCAGATGTATAGAAAACAAGAGGGAAAAATATGCACCAAAAAGAAGAAGAAAACTCTAGTATAAATAGGCATCTATGATAAGATATTTTGACAGTTACAAAGAAAATTGTCAACCGAAGAACTGCCGACCAAAAACTGCAGGAAAATATTTCCATTTAATTTAAACTATGTTGTTATATCGGTCAGAATACGAAATATCGGTCAGGACCGATATTCGGTATATCGGTGATATATCGGTGATATATCGGAAATAGCGGTTAACATAATATTTCTTAGAATTATATATATAATATGCATTAATTAGAGTTTAGAAATATAGTTTCAAAGTCTGAAGAGATCGAGAAGAGAGACCGAGAAGTCGAAGTTGAAGACTTGAAGTCGAAGTCTGAAGAAGAAGTCGAGGTCTGAAGACTGAAGTTGAAGTCGAAGTGTGAAGAAGAAGTCGAGACTCTGAAGTTGAACGTGAAGAAGTCGAAGTCTAAAGAAAGAAGAAGACGTTGTGGAACTATTTTAAGATTCAGACCTAATTTAATTATCAGCCCAAAAAATTAGGCCCATGGAATAACAAATTTAAGTTATCAGCCCAAAAAATTAGGCCCATGAAATAACAAAATAAGTTATCAGCCCAAATTTTTAAACCTTATAAAATCGGTATATCGGACCGATTTTTACCTCAAAATATCGCTAATAATCGCTAAATATCGGAAAATATCGCCGATAATATCGTTCCCGATATTTTGACCGATATTTGAGTTCCGATATTTTTTTTCGAGCGATATCCGATATATCGCCGATATATCGACGATATATCGCGATATATCGACGATATATCGCGATATTAACAGCATAGAATTTAAAATATCCGACAAATCCCCATATAATTGGAAATTTCAAAGGACTATAAAAGACAACCATATAAGAGAGCACAATGGAGAAGTTTTGCATTTGGGAATGGTAGCTATTTTTCAGCCTTGAACCGACCTTAGTGAATAATCCATTGGCTTTACACGGCTAGGTAGTGAACATGATGTCTTGAACTACCCAGACTTTAATGTAAATATAGACAACAAGACAACAACTATCACGCAAAACATCTCCTTACATATTGTATTCATCTCGGCCTTCAAAGACCCTAGTTATTTCATAGGTGGACTTAGAAAGAGTCTCATTTCACACTCACTAGGCAATTTCTGATAAGGAGTACCTTGTTATGTATACCCCACCTATATTTCAAAGCTATGGCAGTCGTTAAAAGCTTAGGTTATCCTCGTCATGCAGGTTTGATTGTTTATCATCCTAAGAATGCGTTGGAGGTTTAGGGGCCGTTTACCAAATACTTATTAGGTAAGCGCTTACCGGCAAGAGTCACCACTATCATTTACCTTAATGGGTAACATTTTTGGCCATCAAAATGGATTGATGGTAAGCCTTTATAACCCGGTAAGCGCTTATCGGATAAGAGTCATCACCCTCACTTACCGGATAAGACTCACGATCCTTGTCTTCCCTCTTACCGGGTAAGATTCTTGGTTCTTATTATGTTCACCCGGTAAGGCATATGAACCGGTAAGCGCTTACCAAGATAAGTGTTTAGTAAACGCTCTCTTAATCTCAGTGTTCTTGTTGATTTAACAAGATTAGGTTGTCCCTTTGAATCTATTTCTTGGGATCCCTAATCAATTAGGTACGGTTGCCATCAAGTATCGTCTTAAACCCATTCTTTTTGATGATCTGACAACTTTCTCTCGTGACAAACCTTTTGTAAACGGATCCGCTAGGTTGTCAACTGACTTTACATAGTCTATAGAAATAATTCCATTTGTGAGTAGTTGTCTAATGGTTTTGTCATTGTGTCGTCTTTGGATATGACAAGACTTACCGTTGTGCATACAACTTAATGCTCTCGATATTGTTGATTGATTATCCCGATGAACGAACAATGTAGCAGGCATCGGCTTTGGCACATAGGTGTATCTCCAAAAAGTTTCGAAGCCACTATGTTTTTTCACCCGCTTTATCCAAAGCAATAAATTCATATTCCATTGTTGATCTTGCCAACAATGTTCTTTTAGTAGATTTCATTGACACAACTACACCACCATGAGTAAATATATAACCACTTGTGGATTTTGAATTCTTGGCGTTTGATATCCGGTTAGCATCAGCATATCCTTCAAAACGGCTGTTGGGTAGTTAATTGCACGCTATATCATTTCGGAAATAGTGGTCTGCAGATAGCCGCTTGGAATAGCGGTATCGTAAATTGCGGTGCTAAACATCACTATGTGACCACTATTTGATCTGAAATAGTGGTCGGTAATAGCGCTATTTTTTCCTCTTTCTTTTTTGTTTTTGGGCTATTTTGAGTAGGCTGTTTTGTTTGAGACCCAAGTTACTTCTATTTCACCCGAACTTTAAGACTTTTATTAGGTTAAAACTTAAAGGAACTATATAAATTCCTAATTCAGACCAATATTGTATATAAGCAAGGCCACTAGGATCACTTGTCTCCAGACTCTACTTCAATCTGCAATTCTACCCCTCAATCGAACTCAGATCCACTCTCCATACTCTACCAGTAGGCATGGCAACGGGATGGATTTTGTAATGCCCGGCCCTGGTTTGTAGTAACATCCCCCGGACCCGACCCGACCCCGGTCCCCGGCGGGTACGTGGATTAACATCCCATCCCCGGTCAAACCTCTATCAATCCCCGGTCAAACCCCATGAAGAACATCCCTTAGTTTGATTCTACCGGGGATCCCCGGCCTTGGTTTGAGTAACATTCCCCGGCCCCTGCCCCTGCCCCGGTTTGAGCCTACCGGGGATCCCCGGCCCCGGGACCCGTTTTAGCGGGGAATCCCCGTCCCCGTTCGGGTTAGGTGAACCGGGTTCCCCACCGGATCGGGGCAAATCACCATCCCTATCTACCAGCAACATGACTGTTTGGTTTTTGCTCATTGTCCCATACTCCTATTTATTATTTTGTTTTTTCAGTTCATAAACATAACTGTATAGCTATTGTTTTCAGTTTATAAAGATAATTGTATAGCTCTGAATAGTTTGACCAAGTAGTTTAGGCATTGTTCTGTTGTCAATGTTAGGCATCTTTATCAATTTTATTTTTACAAGGCAATAATTACCATGTAGTTTAGCATCTTCATCAATTTTATTTTTATAAGGCAGAATTTTGATTTCCGTCCCTGTGATTTAGAAATTGCGGTTTTCGTCCCTATGTTTTGTAATTTATTGCTATTTTCGTCCCTATGTTTTGTAATTTATTGCTATTTTNTTTTCGTCCCTATGTTTTGTAATTTATTGCTATTTTCGTCCCTATGTTTTGTAATTTATTGCTATTTTTGTCCCTATGTTTTGTAATTTATTGCTAATCGTCCCTGAACTATTTTTTACCTTTTTAAGTACAAGGGACCAGAATAGTAAAAAATTGTAAACGACAAGGACTGAAACAACGATAAATTATAAATCATAAGGATGAAAATAACAATTGTTTACATACTATAAGGATGAAAACCACAATATCTAAATTTTAACAAACCATAGGGACGAAAAATGTAATTTACTCTAAACTCTATTACTATGTTCTGTATGCGGTTTGAATTTTTGTATATTAGGCATACAATATGTTAAGTTTTATATACATACAAACACACACACACACACATATGTTCATATTTATTTTATTAATGTAATTTTTTACCGCTATACCTCCGCTATCCCATCGTGATTCCCGCAATGAACGCGTTAACTGCTTAGCACGGCTGGGTTTTTCCACAGTGTAACCCATAACTTTGAATATTACGTAAGTAATTCAGCATGTCTTATTCTTATTAATTGAAATTACAACTAATCTATTAAAATGATTAATACAAAACAACTAACCCTTTGGAAGTAAACACTTTGAATGGACAAAGTTTAAAAAAAAAAATATATATATATATATATATATATATATATATACACACTACGGCAGACGTGCAGATGTTAAGAAAAAAAATTAACAAATAATTTATGTGGAGAATGTTTCCTACATATGAACCTATGCAGAAAATTATTTTTAGAAACTTTATGCAGAAAAACCTGCACATAAAAAATATATGCAGAAACCTTTAAAGCAGAAGAGTTATATGTGGAAAGTTTAATCACCTGCAGAAACTTACTACACACAAAAATTATCATACACAAACATAATTATAAAATAAAACCTAGAGTACTAAATTTAACTATAGAGTGTGTTTTTTTCTGGGAAGGAGAAAACTCCTGGCAAATATTATAAAAGCAAAGGAAACCAAACAACAAGATCAAATAACCAAGTCACCAAGCAGAAAAGCAACTATAGAGTGTTACCATCAACTATAAATTATACCCTACCGAAGACTTGGGTGTCTTATAGCATTACACCATACAAAAACAAATATGCAGTAAGTTTACACAAAAGAGCTTTTGCACAAAATTTTGCAGACTTAAAATTTGTGCAGAAACTTGCACGCAGCAAAAGTTATGCAGATTTTTTCTTTTACTGGGAACTACTAAAAAATTTGTCTTGAGAAGAGAGATCTAAGTTTCGAATCAATGTTTAAGTTGATCGGTCGTTATTATATGTATATTATTGTCTATGTTCCTTACGTGAACTGGTTGGTTTGTTCTAGAATATTTAAATCTTCATGAAAGTAAACCATTGATGACTTTATGGTTCAGTGACTAGCTAAAGTAAATCATAATTTACATCATTCTCCATATTACAGAATAAGAGACATGATATTCCTTTTGTGCAGGTTTACAGTTACAATGGCAATGCAACCATAGGACCCTCCGATCTGTATTCACAAGTTAAGTGTAGCATTTGCAGCCTTGCAACAGATGAGGAACTTCTTTTACTATGTGATATGTGTGACTCAGCTGCTCACTCATACTGTGTTGGTCTTGGTGCCACTGTACCAGAGGGTGATTGGTTTTGCCAGGACTGCACCCTTTCCAGGGATGAACATGCGAAGGTTGAACCAGATGCTACTTGTGATGCTAACATTTGCCCTTCAAGCTCTAATAAAGTTCACTTTACCAGTCCTCAAGTATCAATCAATGATATTGTTAGGGAAACTAGTATGCAATACCATGAGCCTGATACATCTTCAGTAGTTGCCTCTTCTAGTCAACGGGAATTGCTTGCAGAATGCTCAAGCACACAGCCAACAGTTGACTGCACTTCAAATGCTAGAACCTTGCGGCGTTGCCTTAATGTACATGCTCGTATAAAAGTACTACGTGAAAATTGGGAAGGTTTCAGAGGAGGGTCCTTGAATTTTTCTTCCAGTTTTGGAGATCGGATAAAAGCAAGTCAACCACAGACATCTTCCTCAAATCAGGAGTCAACTTCTCAAAAGCATCCTGATAGCAATGTATCACCAGGTAGAGGCCCATACAATATCGATAAAGCATGGAAGATGATGGATATTGCCGCAAAGGCTCTAGGAAGGAAGCGTGGGGATAAAAGCTCTAAAGATAAGGTCTCAAAACATCCTGTAAAGAAAGAAAGCTTACCGAGTGCTGAAGGTATGGTAAGGCCAAATAGCAGATATTTTGAGGGCTTGAAAAAGAATGACAGGGTTGATGCTACTAAAAAGAACGATGAAAAACATAGGTTTCAGATGCTAGATAAAAACAAGCCTATGCAAGGTACTGCAAAGAGTCGCAGAAACCATGTGGAACATGAGCTTCCATCGTGTACGAATCTTATTGCATCTGGCCAGGTGAAAAATCATCATTACAATAGTCAGAATCTATCTCGAAAACATCATCTTGGGGCTACATCAAATGTTGTTGGTTCCATTGATAAGTCATCTCACTTGATTAGACCACCATTGATGACTACTGATAAATGCTGTGCAAAAAAGGAGATTGATGCCGCTTTCGAGGAGAAGAGGAGCATAAACAAAGACCCACAACTCGATAGAAATATCAGGGAAGTCGAAGATGCAAAGAGTGAGATTCAATCACTTGTCAAGCTCAATTTAAAGATTCTAAGCAGGGACAAGAAATTAGGTATGTGTATGACTATCCTCACCTCAACTCTCTCATATATATCAGATTAACCGAAAATACTTTGAGAACTGTGAGAACCAGCTATTCATTATGAATAATGAAAATGCACTATATACATGAGAAATAATATTCATCATGACTCGGGAGGTATATTCATAAATAGTTGAGTTCTCAAATGATATCGCATCATGTCTTTATTCATCGTTGATCCAGTTTACCCTTATTTTCCATCAAGATTAGGTTCAAAGTGTCTCAAATTTTAGCAGCAGTTGCATATAGTATATGCTTTAAAGTAAAGATGTACCAGATGCATGTCATGACCATCTGAATGTGTATGCATGCAGAAGTTGATGTATTTAAGGAAGTTGCAAGACATGCCACACATTCAATCTTGGGTGCATGCGGCATCGAGCGGCCAAGGGCCGGATTCCGCTCTTTCCAAGGATCGGTGTGCAAGCACAACGAAACACATAAACGGCCAAGGTCTACTCTAATGCCCACTTCCTGCAGAGAATGCTTCTTTGTTTTTGTCAAAGATGTTGTTACCACCATTGCATTTGATAGATATAAATAGATACTAAACCATGAGGGAGGTTATTTTAGGTTTAAAATTGTATTTTAGATTGAACCTGAATATTTAGGAGGTTGTATTTAGAGCATTCATGTTGATATTTCATAAGCAATTCTTATTTGCCATGTCAGCATGCTGACGTGGTTTTGAATTTCCAAGGTGTCAAGTATTTGTAAATACGTGGAATCCTATTATATTACTCTTTTGAAAGAGTTAGAGAGGAAATGCTTCAATGCATTTAATTGATTCCATTTAAATAAAATTGAATTATATGTATTACTTTAAATTAAGAGTAGAGTTTAGTTTTGATCCCTGACGTTAGTTCATTTCGATGGATCCCCTCCTTAAACTTTGTTTACTCGGTTTTGGACCGTTACTTTTGTCCATCTACGATCTGTTTTGTCCTTTTGTCTAACTGTTGTTAACTTTTCGTTAAATCCATTTAAATGATTAGTATTGTGGTAATTTCCTTTCCCTCTCTTTTTTG